AAAGAAAATGTTTTTTTTACTTTGCCGCCGCAATGTTATGTTTGTTTATGCACGCTTTCTATCATGCCTTTATCCATACAACACATACTACACTACACTGCTTTAAAACTAACATTAAATGCTTAATTGATCAAAAATATTATTTTTGTATAGTTTTCATATGATCTTTAGTCTACATCCTTCAATGTACTAATTCCCTATAGAGTTAACATAAGTAATACATCATGAGATTTATTCAAGTCGTCTGTCGGGATTAATGAACGTGGAAACAGTTGATGAACTTTTTTTCATAACTCAAATTGACTATTATAAAATGATAGCTATATGCCTCAGATATTCAAAACTATTCGACAAAATTAGTTTTTTTAAATATCTCTCTCTGTAGGTACATCATAGTAATCTTGTTTCAAATAAGGCAAAATTAGAATGAGAGAAAAATTTGCGTCAATTGTCTATCTCTCAATGTAATTGTACATAGTAGTATTATTGTGAGTTGATACTAACAATATTTCTTTACTTCTCAACTATTTAGATATTCTCTTACGCACAAATGGCAGAAAATAATCTTTTTGTTTTCTCTGAAGTTATTTACAATCCAAAAACATTGTTCTAAGGGATTTCGAAAAGAAAAATTCATTCTAAACTATGGTGTTATTAAGGAGAAGTTTTATGCCTGTTGTTTTGCTTATTATTCCCAAATTCTTTTCCTCATATTGATATAATCTAAGCTGTTTTCAGACTACTATACAGGACAGAAAAAAAAGAAAGAAAACAACTTTACATAGATTCCGCCATTCATGTCTATGTACAACTGACTATAGTATCGTCAACAGATAGATCAGCAGAAGATCGTAAGATGAGAAAAGGAAAAAAAAATTATTGTGATAAATAACGCTATAATATTTGACTATACTCTCAACTGACATATGATGATTGATTTTAGAAGCGAATAAGGATATTATGCTCTTGCCATACCGTACAGATACACTACGCACAATAATGACGGCAGTTTGGAAACAGCTTTTTGTCTTATACCATATTTTTTTTTGTTGCCTTATCTCCTCCTTTAGTGAAATATCACATTAGACTTGGTGTGTTGATAGAAAAGAAAAGCACAATAATATAGAAAGAGATGTATAGGCGTATTAATAATAATTTTCTTTGTTTCTCTCTTTCTCTCTCTCTCTCTCTCTCTCTCTCTCTCTCTCTCATTCTTATTCCCAAAAATATACAAAGCCCGCAACACGTCGTCATTCCACTAATTCATTCTGATGTGCATACGAAGCGTATGTGTATATGTGTGTATGCGTCTTTTAAAAAAATAAAAAGTTTAAAAGAATGCAACAGCAACAACAAGCTTCATTAGTTACGGTTAGAACGGTTACGCGCCGGATAGTGAGTCATCCAGGTATGGTGCATGCGCATGTACGATAAAAATATTGCTTAGTGCTTTATTTAATGATCTCTGCTCTCTCTCTCTCTCTCTCGTCAATTTATGGATCGATGTACTCTCTTGTACCACAATCAATCAATCAGTTGTTCAGGCATCAACAGCTAATGATGCAAATCAAAAATTTTATTTTAAAAGCTTCAAAATTTTTTTCAAGGAAATGAAAACCAACAGGATAACTCACGAAAATGTCATACAACAGATCAAGATTTTCACAGTAAACAACATTTGAAGGAACATAAAGTTTATTCTGATGATACACGGCAGGGAAGAATATACGATGATTTGTGGGGAGATAGGGAACATTCACAGACAGCCACTCGTGCCGTCAAAGATTATAATGAAACTGTACATCGGTCCTTTGATAGAAGTTATAGTTCACATGAATATGTTGTGAGATCAATTAAAGAACAACAGCATCAGCAGAGAACTCGTTCATTATCAAGAGATAATAGTCAGCGGTCATCTCGGGCAAGAACAAAAGAATGTCTTCGAAAATGCGCGTCAATTGAATCCGTTTTATCACATATTTTGGATAAGGCACATAAATATAAAACTAAAAAACATTATTATGACACAAATAAACGACAATATGGTAAAAGGCAGAGTAATACCGTCTATGATTATTCAACGGCAACAAGCGATCAACACAATTATTCGGATACCGAACAATATTTTCGCATACCACATGTATTAACCAAGAAATGTGAACAGTCAATGGAAGAGAATGTGATGGATAGTGACGATACCTCAACTAAAACTAAAAGGGCCTATGCAACGATTAATCGTGGCAATAATAGAAAGCGAACAGTCGAAGAAGAAAAAGAATATGAAAGTGTCGAAGAAATCTACCATCAACTAAAACGTGTTTCTAGAATAGATGACGCTCATCAACGTTCAGCTTCCCACAGAACATCATCAAAACCGATTGTTGCAACAACCGAAACAGATAGAATGAGAATCTCAAATGAAAATTATCATAAAGATTATCAACATCAATCTCAAAATAATATTGCTGTACAACCAACAGTTATTCGTCAAGAATTATCAATGAATCAGGATTATTATAATGATCAACAACAACGTGTATTGCAACAAAATAATTGGTATCCCGACGAAATACTAGATCATCGTTTAGTCCCCACATCTCATGAATATTTATCAAGATCAACAACTCAGAGTGAAGGTGGTTTCACCACGACAAGTGAAAATTATGAACAGCGTGAACGGCAGCGTTTACATCAAACTCGAACAAAAGATCGTTCAATTCCGATACGCATTGCCTCTACAAGTTCCATACCAGATGAAATAGACGTAAAATATCAAGCATTCGATAATAGTTCCTCAATGTATTGTGAAAATACTTTTATGTCTGAGAAACACGAGCGACACTACGTATCACAATCGGTGGAAAATTTGTTGTTGCCAAAACAACACATCGAACAAGCTGAACATCATAGTACATCACAACAGTCCACATATGGGGAACATGAAACAAAAATAATTGAAGAAGTAATCGAAACATTAGTAGATGAGCTGCAATTATTGATAGATAAAACTGATCGCAGCACAACGATTATGAAAGAAAAGCATAGCAAACCACAGATTTATTCTCCCAGGCCTACAAGACCTTTATTAGGCGAATATGAACTGAGAATTATTGACCAATCGATTGGAGCCAGGAATGAGCTACAAGTCGTGTTTCCCAAACAACAACCAGAGACTGAATATCAATCGACGTTACAAGTACAAGCTAAAAATCTCACCGTAGATAATCAGTATGGTAAAATGGCTGATGAACATTTGTTTACAGTCCTGGATTCAAAATTAGAAGTAGCTACAACAGAAAATAAAGTCGAATTTGTTATACCGAAACCGATAAGAGATAATATCGCGCATATTGAAGAACATTCGACAACTGTTTTCAAATCAATCGGTGATGTAGACCGACACTTTGTACGTAGCAGAAAAATAAGCAGCAGCTCTGATCAATCGAGTGATTATGGAGAAGGACATTCCAATCAAAATGTGGATGTTAATAAAAGTATATATATATACGAAACAGAGGATACCGGATATGCGAGTGGCGGTGAACATTCGACAACATATGTTCAACATGTTCCAGCAAAATTTGAACCGATCGATTTAGTCATTGATAAACCAAAAATACAACCAAGTATATCGAAAATAATTGCCGATATTCAAGGTCAGGCACAAATAACATCTATACGTCCAACAAAAATAATTCAACAAGAAGATAGTTCTGTCGAGTTGATGATGGATTTAAGTAAACAACCAGAACAATACGACGAAATGGAAGTCATATTAGAAAAACCAAAGATACGCGATAGTTCAAGTAAAGTTCTGGCCAACATACAACCGGGTCTCGAATTGAAGTCAATACGTTCAACTGGTGCTCTTGATCAATTACAAGGGACGGAAAGTAGCTCATCGTTAACAATGCAAATGAAAGAAGATGAAGACGAAACAATGGAGTTACGAATAGCGAAACCACGTGTCCAAGATAGTTCAAGTATTCTGATAGCAGATATTCAAGGTGAACTGGGTGTTCAAGGTAAGTTAATTGCATCCAGTTTACAACAAGAAGATTCATCAACAGCAATAGTCATGGATTTATCAACACAAAAACAAGAGCATGCACCATTCGAATTAATTATACCCAAATTTGGTGTTGAAAAATCAACGAGCACTGTGGTTGCACAAGTTGCTCCAACACTAGCCGGAATAAAAACAACCATTAGCGTACCCCCATCCGAAAGTTCATCTAGTCTCTTTTTGGAACAACGGTTAGTTCCCGACGAACTCGTTGATATAATCCTACCTAAACCTAAAATTGGAAGTAGTTCAACAACCGTTATTGCTGATGTATCAGCTAAATTAGAAACAAAATCGATTCGAGCTACT